ACAAATAAAGAATAAAGCACGGATTACAGAAAAGAAAATATCTTAAGTACTGTTGCCATTTCATTTCATTCAGTCAGTTACGTCGCACGTGGGATTGTTCACACTACCAATAGGTGCTGCTTCAACGTACAGCAGACTGTACTGAGAAAAATTAACACACACAGTTCAAAGTGACAACCAAGCTGTTGAAATACGCATCCTAACCCTAAGTTTCTTGGGTGAATCTAATGTGTTCTTGTTTCTTGTGCCTACCCGACCGTCTTGCGCAAGTTACAGGTGCTTACGTAAGGAGTTTTCCTCATTAAGATGTAGGTGTATTTTCACTGTGCTTTGCAAACTACGCTATTTTGTAAACTGTATTGTTTGCAATCAAAATTATTACATATAACTTAATGATTTAATTAATATGAGACTACAAAGACCGTTAAAACGGAAGAAACGAGCGAAAAACGACGACAATTCAAATAAAGGAAAAGTTGGTCATTTTAGAAATAATAGAAAATGGGAAGAAAAACGGCTATTTTGCGAAAGAATTTGTTATTACTCTTTTGACACTGTCTACAATTTTAAAGATCATGAAAAATTGAAGACAAGATCAAGATTCTGTTTAAGAGACCATTAGGACCTGAAAGAAATTTTCTTTGAAACGCTTTACATGAAAACATCCATAACGCTGTTTTCTGATGATTACAAGGTGTTCGGTCATGAAATATCCCAATTAATGGTCTAGTAATATGCGAAAATTATTAGATTTTGGGAAACTTTTAAGTACGATAATTTTCAAGCAAGTGATGGATGACTCAATAGGTTTCGAGAAGGTCATGGAATAGTTTCGAGAGCAATATGTGAAAAAAAAAGAATAATGCACCACAGGATCGAGCTAAACAACGGCATGCTGGTGAAATCACAAAGATGATCGCAGAATACAATATCAAAAAAATTTATGTTTATGAGACTAAGATATTCTGTTAGTTACATCCATACTGTACACTCAATGACTGATTCAGAGGAGGGAAGAAACCGAAACAACGGTTAACTGCCTTGCTCTGCCGCAAAGCTACTGGAACAAAAAGCTGAAGCCACTGATCACAGAAATATACGCAAGTCCACGACGTTTAAAAAGTGGTCGATCACTTTCCTACCATTATCTTGCACTTAAACGTGTTTGGATGACAAACTATGTGCAATTAATGGCTAAGAAACTTAGATACGCAAATGAAGAAACTAAAAAGAAACATCCTTCTCATGATAATTGCTAGACACATAATTAGACATGCAGATAAAATACACTAACGTCGGGTTTTTACCTCTAAATTGTACAACACTCCTGCAACGTTTTCACTTAGGAATCATACGCGCAGTCGAAATGCATTACAGGAGTCAAGATATCGCTAAAATTAATTTCAGAGGATAATAAAAAATCAGACATTAAAGAAGTACGTGACATGATCGAGGTGGCATGGTTGTTCGTAACAGAACCAACCATACTAAAATGTTAGACGAAGAAGTCGCTTTCTGTACATAGTTGCCTTGAAATGCAGAAAACTGTTATAGAATAGATTGGAACGGCAGTGGAATATGAGGTCAGAGAAATATGGAATTCCATAGTTGCTGCACTGAAGTTACTGGACAGAGTCAATTATGAAGATTATAATTTACTATCGAGTGAGATGTCAGACCAGAACATTACTGAAAATGTACAGGAATCGTCATGTAATGTGGACATGACATCTGAGTGAAGATGACGATGAATCTGCTGCTGAATCACCTAAAGAGAACATTTTAGAATTCTCTCAGAAGCTTTACACAGCCTCAAAAAAATCGTGCGTATTTGTCCTCTACTACTGACTTCCCAGGAAACATTTTGCTGTGCTTTATTGGTATTTAGAATTTCATTTTAAAGGTGCCCTAAACATAAGACGCAGCTGAAATAACTTTTGATCAAAGGAGTATTATAATAATTATTAGCATTTACATGACTATTTTTAAACAAAATGAGCTTATAATTTCTTTTCTTTCTTCAGTATAACAAAATTTCAGTATAGTGAGTTAATCTGTAGAGTTTCAATAGTTTCGTCATATCGGAATTTGACTGTCTGAGGCAAAAAAATCAATGAGGCGTGACGCCGATGCTTCCTAATCAAATGTCATCGCCACTCCGTGGACCAACGGAGCACCCTTGGTTGATGGTGCAGTGGTTTTGCATCGACCTCACGCACATAGAAAGGACTGTTGTTGTTCTTGTCATCGTTACTTGAAATATTAGGGTCAAAGACCAAGTGACCATTTAAAAATGTCTGATCTGGAAAGGAAGTCACAAAGTTAAAAACATTCAATCACATGGTGAAACATAAAAAGTACAGAAGCACCTTATTAAAGGAACCGTTGAAGTTCGAGTAGCATATAAGGTCGAATTTCAATTTACAGCAAACTTTTTATATTTGTTTTTATTTAATACGGGACAGTTAAGTTCTCTTCCTTGTTACGGTAAAATCATAATTTGTATGATCTATATTGATGAACGCCATCGCTGTATGATCGAAAAGCTGACGATATAAATATATGGCATTTTATCAATCGACTGTAGTTCATGATCACGTAACGCAACTGAATCTGAATATTACTTGCGCTATTTTGTTTGTTTGTTAATGCGCTAGCATTTATGCTTCGTGGTCAACGCTAACAACAGAGATAAAATTACCTAAGTTTTCACCTCCCCACAATTCCATTTCAGCGTCGTATTTGCCGAGTGTCTCGAACCAGTTTTTATCGATGGCGAATAAGCCACCAGCAATCACCGGAGTCCTGCACAATATCAGGATGATAAGAATGAATGAAAATCTGTCGGCTTTACGGAAGGGGCACGTCACTGTTTTGCATATGATGATTGAGTTGATCACCCGTCAATCCACTCCACTGGAAGTTCAGATCCCAGCTGAAACCTTGAAAACAACGGGTCAAGAAGCGCATATGTTCGATAATTTTTTGTACCTCCAATCAGAGCAGTGGACACTGGCGAATATTCGAAAGTATCCAAATCGATAACATCGATGACCGGCGAGACAACAACACTGCTATCCTAAGAGAATATAACCTTTCAAGCCGGAATACAAAAGCAAAGCCACAATATAAAAAATAGAATAATTACGAAATTGTATCGAACCTAAACTGTGATGTCGATAAAAGAAGTACCATGAGTAAACCATAAATAAAAACTGAAAAGTGCAATCATGGGGATGTCAGCCACCAGTACACATCCTTGCTGATGCTGTAACTAGTTGTTTACTAAACACAGTCAACTGCTTCTCTCGCATACTGCAATATTCATTAATCTACTCACAAAGTATTAAAAAGCGAGTGATTTGAGCAAGTTCAAACTCAACGCTCTACATTCAGAGCTACCATGTGCTACATATACAAATAAAGCATAAATAATGATATAATTGCTGCTACGGAGAATATGACCTTTGCTGCAACATCGAATGATGCGCTAATATAAACTGCTAGAATAACAGAGGCGGTCGAACTGGTAAATTCACATCGTTGATTGAAACTTACACTTTTCGCTGTAGGCGTAGCATATTATCTTTACCACAGCTATGCCTAAATAATGGGTGAAAAAATCTAGAAGCAAAAAAACTTGCAATGAATCATTAAAACTTTTTTCACTCAAGGAATAGGACAAGTCAGGGTAAGTCAGTCATAGAGCACCAGACCAACAATCGAAAATTCATAGGCTTTAACGTCAGTCAGGTAATGAGGCAGTTAACAGATGTCTACCACTAGAAAAAAAGAGTACACCTTGTAGAAGTCACCTAGTCATATTAATAGCATTGAAAAAATAGGTCACAGGGTTTGGTTGATGACGTTGAAAACGGATAAATTAGGGTATTATCATGAACATCATAAAACAGGGACCAGAAACATTGCTCACTCATGGAAGTGCAAGGGACACTGATGCAGAAGAGATTAGAAACCTTCGGTTTTGCTCTTGTTTCTTGTCCATAACGTGTAGCATCACTAAATTTGTGCAGTTAGTGGTCTAATGTCTTTGAATTAAAGAAAGATTACAAGCCTTTCTAAAAAATCTCGCATTGCGTAAATTCGTGGGCTGCGATGAGAAGAGGCTTTCAAACCGAACCAAATCTTTTAATAATTGTTTGGTCAAATCGTGCAATGTATTGGTTTTTCGTTGTCTTATTAGTTAAAGCATGCGATGTCTTTTCTAAAACAGCTAAACAATAAAAGCTGAACTCAATATAAGACCAAGTATTCAAATATGGTTAACACTTAATTCTAAACATGACCATTAACCATTTCTGACAACT